TTTACAAATGTTTCACTCCCTTTCATTTCCTTTACCACCTACCAGCTGTGTGCTCTTGGGCTAGGTACTTAAAGACCCACCCTCCAATCGCAGTAGAGGTTCAGTGCATCTCCTCCACCCATTGGCTCACTGTAGCAATGCCCTTCCAATAGCAGTAGAGGTTCCATGCATCTCCTCCACCCATTGGCTCACTGTAGCAATGCCCTTCCAATAGCAGTAGAGGTTCCATGCATCTCCTCCATCCATTGGCTCTTGGGTAGCAATGCCCTTCCAATAGCAGTAGAGGTTCCATGCATCTCCTCCACCCATTGGCTCACAGTAGCAATGCCCTGAAGTCATATGCCAACCCTTGGGGTCAGGAGTCAGCGGTGATGTTGCTACCACCTAATCACGTGGACTGAGAGTGGAAACAATGATTCTCCAGAAGGAAACAGAGGCACTATTATGAGAAGTTAGACGGCAAAACAACAGAGATCCACTACAACTGCCTTAAAGCACTCTGGACACGATTTAATAAATATCTTTCCCAAAAATGTGGAGACACAGGACGTGAGTAGCTCTTTCTGGGGTGTCTTCCATCACACACGATTCCATAAAGGGATAGCAAGCAAATTTAGCTGTAGGGACCGTCTATTCTGAGGCACAGGGCGTCTCCTATGCTCCTGAATCCATATCCTACCGCTGCAGTCCTAGGCACTTGGATACAGATCAGACCCTGTCAGGCAGTCCAGGTTGCCGGTTTTATCTGTACACAATGTACATACCCCTTGAAATAAGAAAGTATGTGGTTCAATAATATAACTGTCTATCTTTTTTTTTTTTTTGAGACAGAGTCTCGCTTTGTTGTCCAGGCTAGAGTGAGTGCCGTGGCGTCAGCCTAGCTCACAGCAACCTCAAACTCCTGGGCTCGAGCGATCCTTCTGCCTCAGCCTCCCAAGTAGCTGGGACTACAGGCATGCGCCACCATGCCCGGCTAATTTTATATATATATATCAGTTGGCCAATTAATTTCTTTCTATTTATAGTAGAGACGGGGTCTCGCTCTTGCCCAGGCTGGTTTTGAACTCCTGACCTTGAGCAATCCGCCGACCTCGGCCTCCCAGAGAATAACTGTCTATCTTAAATTGCCAATCTTTACTGTAACAACCCAAATGTTGTAAAATGAACAATAGCAGCATATTCTATGATGGATCAAATATATTTTGAGTTGCTGTCTTCCTCATCTAAAGACAGTCTCTCTGACCATTATCTGTTTGTGAAGACATGAGACCAGCAGTTTTTCCCACACTTAAGGTCATGAAGCTATTAATTAAGGTCTCAGAATTTACCTGACACTTCCATGGTTGTCAGAGATAGTCACCATAAAGCCACTTTGCTTCCATACCTGTTCAGTGCCTTCCATCCACACACATCCCCTTCCTGGTTTACACTTTGTCACTTCCCTGGTTCTATGGCAAAACAATATTTGCAACTCCCTCTTGGTCACAAACCTCTAAGAGTCAGGGACTGCTCGTTTTGTTTTCCTTAGGGTTTGGCACTTTGGTGTATGGGAAGGAGGAGAGTTACAAAATTGCATTAATGAATGTTAGGAATCAATCCATTGCTCCATGCTATGTACAAACACTATAATAAACATTGGTTCATTTCTTGTAACAAAGGCAGTAGGAGCTTCTCTCAATAGACTAAATTCAGGGAAAGAATGAAGGCCTGAAGACAGCCTGAAGGTAGCTGGCTTATTTGTACCTACCAAGTGACAAGCATTGGTTTAGGTATTTTTAAATATACATGATTTCAGTAAATTTTCACAATCCCGCAAACACTTACAGACTCCGTTTTGGTTTCTAGCTTTCAGTAACACAACCTCATGGTGACAGGATGAGTCAAAGCCAGCAGGTCTGACTCTGTGATTACCAAGTCCACTATCCTCATTTATGGGAAAAGGAAAATTGAAAATCACTCAAAGAGCAGTGAAACAACGGAAATATGAAATTTTATACATAACTCCAAGGTTCATGAATATATGGGCACTGTATACTCATAGAAAATGTTTCAAGAGTGGTTTGAGGCCGGGCGTGGTGGCTCACGCCTGTAATCCTAGCACTCTGGGAGGCCGAGGCGGGCGGATTGCTCGAGGTTGGGAGTTCGAAACCATCCTGAGCGAGACCCCGTCTCTACCAAAAATAGAAAGAAATTAATTGACCAACTAAAAAATGTATATATACAAAAAATTAGCTGGGCATGGTGCGCATGCCTGTAGTCCCAGCTACTTGGGAGGCTGAGGCAAGGAGATTGCTTGAGCCCAGGAGTTTGAGTGCTGTGAGCTAAGCTGACGCCATGGCACTCACTCTAGCCAGGGTAACAAAAGTGAGACTCTGTCTCAAAAAAAAAAAAAAAAAGAGTGGTTTGAAACACTCTTTGGGCAGCAATAGAGTAAAACCAAAGGACATGAGGTGACATCAAATTCATTGTACGGAAACCTTTTGGGAACTCTGAAAAATGAGAATCTTTTTTTGTTTGTTGTTTTTCTTTGAGACAGAGTCTCACTTTGTTGCCCAGGCTAGAGTGAGTGCGGTGGCATCAGCCTAGCTCACAGCAACCTCAAACTCCTGGGCTCAAATGATCCTACTGCCTCAGCCTCCTGAGTAGCTGGGACTACAGGCATGCCGCCACCATGCCCGGCTAATTTTTCTATGTATATTAGTTGGCCAATAATTTCTTTCTATTTATAGTAGAGTCAGGGTCTCACTCTGCTCAGGCTGGTTTCAAAACTCCTGACCTCGAGCAATCCGCCCGCCTCGGCCTCCAGAGTGCTAGGAATACAGGCGTGAGCCACCGCGCCCGGCCGAGAATCATTTTTAAATTACTTTTTTTTTTTTTGTAAATTGCAATAAAAAGAAAAAAAGTCCCATTTGGATCCTACTTTACAGTTCACAGAGCACGTGGGAAAAATAAAGATAACGATGAGGTAGATGCAATTTATAGGGAAGGGGGCACAAAGAAATAAAATGAAAGGGAATAATAACCTATATAAAATACCTAGTTCATCTTCTTTTAAAAAATTAATCTTAAAATGCATTTCTACTATCCATCTCCTATTTGATGTGATGAAGAGTGGTGATAAAAAGATGAATTACAGTTCAGAGTTTTGAAAAGCAAACCAACTATAGAGCGGCGACACTTGAGGTTGGGCTAATAACAGGATAGCCTAACTCGATGTGTGGTTTCTGACACCCCACGTCAGAGATCATTCCACCTGCACCAGAAGTACAGAAAGAACCACAAACCAAACCTCAAAATGGACTCTAAGAGAAAATACCCTTTACAAAATTTCCCTTCCTATGGAAAGGCAGACCAACAGGATGTTTGTCCCCACCCACAAATTTCCCAAATAACTTTTATATAGAGGGTTTCACTCGGATTAGACACACAGCAAGCGCCTTCTTCTCTGAACCTCATACGTATTTCTTCCTTGGCATATTCCAGAGAATAAATGCCAAGCTCAAGACTGCTATGGGTCTCAGGACCACCAAACACATAGGGAGAGGCGCACGGCAACCTCCTTGGTCACCAAGCGGGTATGTAGACATTTGCAGTTTTCACGCATTGCTCAGAGCTGAGTTGTTTTTTTTTTTTTTTTTTTTGAGACAGAGTCTCACTTTGTTGCCCAGGCTAGACTGAGTGCCGTGGCGTCAGCCTGGCTCACACAACCTCAACTCCTGGCTCAAGCGATCCTCCTGCCTCAGCCTCCCAAGTAGCTGGGACTATAGGCATTGCGCCACCATGCCCGGCTAATTTTTTTATATATATTAGTTGCCAATTAATTTCTTTCTATTTTTATAGTAGAGACGGGGTCTCGCTCTGCTCAGCTGGTTTCCACTCCGACCATCGAGCCAATCCACCCGCCTCTGCCTCCCAGAGTGCTAGGATTACAGGCGTGAGCCACCGCGCCCGGCCCAGAGCTGAGTTTTGACCAAGAGATTGCTTATGATAATTTGCTGATATATTGTACACTAAATTTGATTATTGTCTCTTTCAAACCAGTTTTTACCTTTCTGTTCTTATGTGTGAAGGCAGATATAGATTATTTAAAACTCTTTTAGAGATTCCTATTCAATTTAAATTGGGCCCGGCAGGGTGGCTCATACCTGTAATCCCAGCGCTTTGGGAGGCTGAGGCCAGAGGACTGTGTGAGGTCATGAGTTCAAGGTCACAACAGTGAGCTGTGGTTGTGCCACTGCACTCCAGCCTGGGCGACAGCGTGAGACCCCATCTCTAAAAAAATGAATAGATTTAAATTGCCTGCAACCTTCCTATAACACACTTGTGATTGATGACAGCCTTAGTTTAGACACAGTCATCTTAAATATATTCTTAACCGATTCCAATCTGTGCTCCCTTGAGTACCTGGCATTAAAAGGCCATTTAAATTAAACCTCAATCTTGTAAAAGGACCAATTCGGCATAATTTCGGGGGAGCACCCGGAGCTGCTTTTCCGGGCGCGGCTGTGTGAGCGTGTGCCGGGCGTCCTCCTTCCCGGCCTCTGTGCGGCCCTCTGGCTCCAGGTCCCGGGGCGCGAGGGCCAGAGGGAGCCACAGCAGCGCGCGTGTGCGTGCGCCGTCTCGCAGCGCGCGGTCTGCTCGCAGGCCAGGACACGGTGTGGGCGTCGCTCGCCGCCCGCGGGCGTCCCAGCCCCGACCTGCGCGCGGAGTCCCTGCGTCCCCGCTGCGGGCGCGAGGGCCCCGCGGTGCCACCTGCGCGGGGGGACGCGGGCTCGGGCGGGTCGCGCGCTCCGGGTGCTGGGGACGCCCGGACACTCGGGGCCACCCCCACGCCCCGCGCCCCAGCCGGGGGGCCGCCGCACCTCGGCCGCCTAGCGCCTCTGGAGGGAGGCACGGAGGGACGCGCGGCGAAGGGGCTCTGCTCGCCGCCGAAGCAGGAAGTGAGCGCGAGGGAGACCCGGGAGGAGGAGGAGGAGGAGGAGGAGGAGGAGGAGCAGGGGCGCGCCGGACCCGCAGGACTTCTCCTCCCAGCAGGCGCCCTGTCCTCCCGGGTCCCCGAGGCCGCCCCGCCGCGCTCCGGCGCTCGTCTGCTGCCACCCCGCCCCCATGGCTTCACCGGACGACCCTCCGGGCGCAGGTAAGGGGACACCGCGCCGCGCCCGCACCTGGAGCGGGGACCGCGGGCCTGGAGCTCTGGAGGAGCCCGTGACTGCGGCAGGGCTGTCGGGGCCGAGCCTCGGAGACTCCCCCAGGGGCGCGCGGGGACCCCCGTGTCCCGGACCCCAGCGCCAGACCCCGGGCCGCGCGGGGCCCCAGCTCCACGCCCGCGAGCGCCTGCTGGTCACCGGTCGGCGCGCTCGCCCCCCGCGCTCGCCCGGCCCCTGTCCCTGTCGCCCCCACGCGTGCCTGGGACGCGCCGTCCCTCCTCCCACGCTGCGGCCCCAGCGCTTTGTTCTGGACCCGCGATGCCAGGTTGAGACAAGTCCCGCAAGCTTCTGGCGGAAAAGGGCGCAAGGGGGTGGATTTCGTTTTCTCCTCCTGGGCTCTGCCATTCTCCCTGCTCACATGCCTCTCCTTTCGCCTCCTCTCTTCTCATTTCACTTCGGCCACATGGTTTTGGTTTAATAAATACTGGCCCAGGCTAGTTCATCGGTTTGTGTCCACAGAACCACGGGCCGAGCCCACCTGTGGGACCCCGCCTCTCATTAGAATTGGCCTCCTGTTCTGTCCTTAAGTTAAAAATATTTTTTTTCTTTTATTTCGGCATATTATGGGGGTACAGATTTTAAGGTTTCAATAAATGCCCATTCCCCCTCCCCCCACTTAAGTTAAAATATTGTGTGTTCAAACCTGAGGCTGGCATCTAGATTTTTCTTTATTCTCTCACCTGAATTTAAAGTCCTCAGAATTCGCTTCCCGGGAATTCTCTTTCTCAGCTGTCGCATAACCTAGGCCTTAACCTCAATGGATGTTTCCTGAACACACGAATGAATGAATGAATGAATGAATGAATGAATGAATGAATGAATGAATGATACATCCCCCAGAGTGCGCGGGGGCTTTAACTTGGGGGCGTTGAGGTTGGAAATGCTGAAGAGAGTTACACAGAATCTGACGTAATTGCTTAGATAAACGTGTTCCCTAGTTCATTTCTTGAGCTGGGCAGGGAGAGAGCTAGAATGTTCCATCCTTAATCTTGAGCTGTGAGAAGCAGACAGCATGTCCGGAGGTGGCCAGAAGACCCTTCCACCAAGCTGGCATTGTGCTGTGCTGGGTTTGGGGGAGTTTCCTGGGGACTTCAAAGAAAGATCTAAATTCTTCTTTATGTGGGGGGATGATAAATTTTGTATCAGTTGGAGATGGAGAATGAATTGTCTGGATATCCTTCCCCTCCCCCTAGACCTATGGTTTGGAAAAGCAGAAGGGGAAATAAAGGGAGAAACCCTCCTAATTCCTCATCCCACTCCACTCCCCTGCACCTCCTTTTCGGAGAGCCTAATGAACAAGGTGCCAAGAGGTGTTTCAGGCTAGCTTTCACTAAGAATGGCCTCGGGACTCATTCAATGATGATAGTTGGGGGTGAGGGATAGATGTAAAATCTGCTTGAGCCCTCCACGATCAATAGCAGCAGAGAAGGTAGGGGCTGGGAAACACAGTTCATTCATGATATCAGTGTATTAAAAGCCTCAGTGATGGCCGGGCGGGGTGGCTCACGCCTGTAATCCTAGCACTCTGGGAGGCCGAGGCGGGCAGATTGCTCGAGGTCAGGAGTTTGAAACCAGCCTGAGCAAGAGTGACACCCCGCCTCTACTATAAATAGAAAGAAATTAACTGGCCAACTAATATATAGAAAAAATTAGCCGGGCATGGTGGTGCATGCTTGTAGTCCCAGCTACTCGGGAGGCTGAGGCAGGAGGATTGCTTGAGCCCAGGAGTTTGAGGTTGCTGTGAGCTAGGCTGATGCCACCGCACTCACTCTAGCCTGGGCAACAAAGTGAGACTCTGTCTCAATAAAAAAAAAAAGCCTCAGTGAGTCAGTGGTGTGATACAGCCACCAGGGGGGTTAGTATGGTCTTAGGTGACAGTAGTAGCAGTATAGGATCCAGAATCCCAGTGATGGTACTCACGCTCTGCCTGGCCCAGCCAAAACGGATGTGCACATCTTGCAATGAATGTGCAACCTGAAACAAAGGAACTTCAAAATCCCAGCACGTGTGGAGTGGGGCGAGGACAGAGGAATTGATGACAAGAAGGCATGATATGGAAACAATCTGTCTCTTGGACTGGAAGAGGTAGAACCCAAACCTATAGGTGAAATCTTTAGAGGGCTCTTTAGTGGGCTTCCCACAAAGAGGAGGGAGGCCTCCTTCTGTTGAGAGCTCCCTGCCATTCAACAGAGGATGCTGAAAAACACAGGCATCTGAAAGATCGTCCGAGTAGGATTCTATCAATGAAATGAGGATTCCTCCATTTAAACACACCCACCCACCCCAATTTACCCTTTTCTAACATTTCATTTTATTTTCTCACCCCACAGCACACACACACCTATTCCTTCCATTTCTGTAATGGAAGCACACAGATGGTGCCAATATCTGGAACTTCTTAAATGGAATGTTCACTTCGCCCCAGACCGAGTTTCCATATTCTCTCACCTGATTTCCCACACTCACTTCCCAACCGGTGTTCTCACGCTCCGCTCTTGCCTTCTGGCAACCTGTTCTCCAAAGGGTGGCCAGAGTGATCTTTTAAAAATAAATCAGATCCTGTCACTCCTCCGCTTTGAACCCTGGGCTGTCTGTCCAACACTCCCCAGCAGTCCTCAGTCCTTATGTGGTTTCCACACTGTGTGTGACCAGTCCCTACCTGTTCCTTCAACCTCCTCCCATGGTGCCTGGTTTGGCCCCTGCTCTCAGCACCCCTGCCACACGGCCTCCTCTCTTTTCCTTGAAAGCCCTCGCACCCTCCTACCTCCTGGCCTTTGCACAGGCTGTTCCTGCTGCCTGGAAGGTCCCTCCACTCCGCCCCCGCCCCCATCTCCTGCCCACCCTGTTACCTCCTAGTGGTCCTTGAATTTTGGCTCAAAGGTGACCCAGATCCAGCCCCATGTTATGTACTCTCGGCACACCCTGTACCTTTTCTTTCTGGCACATTTCACAGTTTCTGGTTGTCATTATTTGGCCAATGTCACCCTCCCCATTAGATGGTAAGCTCCTGGATAGAGAGGCCATGTCTGTTTTGCATGACAGTTTGTCTCTAACCGTGTCTAGCACGGTACTCGGCACATAATTAGCCCTGGATAAATAATTTATCACTTCAGTGAATGAATGGACAATATAAAATTCAACCACACGTGCTTCAAACTGTGGGGGGAAAAAAGCTCTTCCCATGTAGGCATCTTAGGAGCTTAGTCATCAAGCTAGGTGTACAAACTAAGTCTGCCTTGTAAAGTTAAAAAAAGAAGTTTGTATATCCACATGCACATAACAAAGGTACAATGCTATTATACTATATTATGAGGTTAATTTAAAAAGCAACTTTTGACGGTGAAAAAATTCGCAAGACTGTTGAAGTCACATGGAAGGAAAACAGTCATACTGATTACAGTGTAGCCGGCACGCTCTACCTCTCCCACTAAGAAGCACTCTAGCACTGAATGAGCCAGAATCAAATTTGTGTTCGTAAAGATAACAAAGACAGAAGCAAAGAGTGAGGCATTGAAGGTCTGGGTTAAAGGTGGTGCAATTCCTTGCAGTGAGCTAAGCGCCTGTGGCCACACAGCACAGCAGTGCACCCTCTTCCTTTGTTCTGGGAACTTCTTGGCACCACACAGCAGGGCTGTTTCCTGGGAGTTGTGGCCACCTTCTTAGGATGCCCCCTGTGGTGACATCTCACCCTCTCCTGGCCCTCCTGTGGGCGTAGATGGGCCCGAGGTGGCAACCTGCCCTCCAGTGGCACTGGGGACAGTACCCAGGACGACAGGGTGAACCACTTCCAGGAGCACTGGTTTTTGCAAAGTTGCACCAGCCAGTTTGCAAGTGGCCAAAGAGAGGTCAGTTGCAGTTTGCACCAGCCAGTTGCAAGTGACCAAAAAGAGGGGTGACGACTGAGGCTTTCCCTTCTCCCTTCCTCCTTTCTTCTCTCCTTCCCCTCCCTGTGGGTTTTTCCAATGCTCACTTCATTTCTCTTCCTTTCTTATAATGCCTCCACTTTCTAAGTTTTCTTCTGTCTACCGGAGTTCCTTTGTTTCGTGTCCTCCCTCCCTCCTTCCCTGCCCTCCTCTGTGTGCTCCGCAGCCCTTCAGAGAAGTTGCTGTAGGAATGCACTTCCTTGGTCCCTGCCCTTTCCCAGCTTGTTCAGCCCCTGCTCCCAGGTCTGAGGGTGGCACAGGGGGCTGCTGCTCAGACAGAGAAGAAGCCAAAGGAAACAGGGAGTCAGCACCTCCTCCCCGCATTCCTGCGGCTCAGAGCCTGCTCCAACCCTGAGTGTGGCTCAGAAGCCAGGGCTTCTTTCTAACCAGTAATGAAAGCAGCGGTGGGTCAAAAGAAAAGCTGTGCTACCACCACAACAAATAACCAATGAAAAATAAATTAACTCTGCCATCACACGTTCAAAGACTTGTCTTTGGTTCGCCACTGGAAAGCACAGAGAGGCCCTGCTCTTCTGTCTCGTGGTGCTTGGGAAAGCCAGAGACCCCTGCCACGCTTCCCTCCTTGTCTTCCCTGAAAGGACATCTTTAGAGAAGACATTTGAACTTCCTCTGAGAGCCTGTCGCTAGGAACTGTTGACCTCTGTCTAATGAGACTAATAAAGGGAGCTGTCAGAACGTGACATGCAGTCCTTGGGCAGCCACCAGCGTCTGCTTCTGGCACTGTGCCAGAAGGATCTTCTGGAATCCAGAAGATTCCTTTTGGAGAAGCTGCTGGAGGCAGTGCCGGGTTCCCTGCTGCTCCTGAAGAGGTTGTGATTCGGTAAATGATGGGATTTGGGGCTTTGCGTTAAGGACAAGTAGATGAGTTTGTGGATTTAGAGTAGGGGCTGGAATGATTAAGGCTTCTGGAGTGTTGGGATGGGCCACATGTATTCTGTGTGTGGGAAGAACATGAATTTTTGGGGGGCAGGGGCAGAGAGTGGACT